GGGCGGGGACACTGAAGGAGCGGCTGGTGGAGGTGGGGATGGTGGACGCTCTGCAGGTTGCGGTGGGGATCCACTTGTTGCAGGAGCTGGAGAATAAGATAGCATAGATTGTACTTTTTATTCGTTGAATATGGGAGATAAATTAATAATATGGGCCAAGCTATCAGAAGTGTTATTGTCTTCAACAGTTCTCTGGCAGTCAAAAGTCTTAAACTAAAAAAAAAAATTCAGAGTAACTTTCCCAACTCTCCTACTTTCGTAATAAACCAAAAACTCACCAGTAACTGCTATAATTTCCTCTTTAACCTCATCCATCTTTTTCTGTCCCCCTTGCTCGAAGTAAGATATCCTGGCCATCAACTTATCCCTGGGCTGTGGCCTGGTGTTCCTCTGCTGAAGTTCCTTCAATTTCCTCTCCGCAGCCTCGGCCCTTTCTAGAGCTTTCTGCGCGTCCTCCTCAGCCAGACGGATCTTTTCCTCCCATAGTAAAATGTCTGTGTCCTCGTGTTTCTCTGCTAGTTTCAACTGTAAGATTGTGCATAAGGTTAATTTACACATTTATTTTTCTTAGTAATGTGGTGTATATGCAAATATTGAACATCTATCATATTATATAAATAATAAATATAGCACAGGTACTTCTTTACAGTCAGTCGACAACCGACCGGCATGCGGACCAAACCATTACTAATAGCTATATGTTACATGGTAGTATCTGTATGGATACATAACTGTGTGTCGAACCATTGACATACCAACCGGGGGACATCACAGTATACTTATCAATTCAAGAGTTTTTGTTCTCGATTTGTCAATAAACATGGATTGGGCCAAGAATTGAGCCCTGTGGAACACCTACCGTAACTTCAAGCGTAACATGGCATAGACCAGCTTTCTAGATCCTATTATTTAACTTTTTAGATGATTTAAATAAGTATTTATTTACCATTTAATGGTCAAAAATGTAGTTAACTTGGTAATAAATAACGTGAAGCAAACTATCAAACGCCTTCAACGGGTGGTAGAAAAATCAAAACGTTGTTCAAACCATCCTACGCATTTTATATTCAACTAAATCAACACTGGACATAAATCATTGAATTCTCCCTGTAGAAATTGCCTCATAGATTAAGCATTATACCATACCCGAAATGTCAAACATTCATACATGTATTGAGGTTAATATTTATTAACAGAATAGCATAATTCCCCACCTGTAATTCATCGAGCTGGTCCCTGTGCCTAAGTGCCTGGTCTTCCAGTGCATCCTTGAGACAGTCCACCTCGTGTAACAGTCTCTGCAGTCTCTCATCGGGCGGTAGGTCGCCCCCTAGTAAGGAGCCCATTAATAGACTGCTCTGGTGTGTCAGTAGCTTCACTCGCTTCTTCGCTGCGCGGGCTTCTGTTCTGTATCTGTAGTCGAAATGGTAAATCAGTGTTCTGTCGCCTTTTCGTGAAATAAACACGTAATTTGATGTTTCATTTTTTTATGACAGAAACCGGTAAACGAACAAACGGATCACCTGATGGTAAGCAATCGGCGCCACCCGTGTTACAGGCCTTTTGAGGATTAGGAATTTGAAGAATGTTGAGGAATCAGGGATTCTCTTGGTACATTCGGGAAGGGGGGGGGGGAGGGGTTAATGGACCTCCCGTAACCTTCTTCACATAACGAAACACAACGCAAGCTTTGCTTCACTATAGTTTTCTCTCGAGCCGACCAATTCGTGCCGAAGCATGGCTCTCCCACACTTGAGACGATGATGATACAACTTGTAATAATGAATTCTAACGCTAGTATCAATAGAATAACTCACGTCTCAGCCATCTCCCGGTCCTTGTCAGCATTATTCTTCAGCCCGGTGACTTCCTCCATGAGTAGCTTGGACACTCGGTTGTGTCTCTCCAGTTGGATGCGTAACTCCTGCAACTCCTTCTCCTGCGCCGCTGACTTCTCTTTCTCTGCTTCTAACTCCTGGAACGAGTTTTCGTTGGTTAAGAACATTTGATATCTATACATTTAAAACTTAGGAATATTTATATATTAAAGACTTTTTTCCGATGCAATTAATTAAACTGTCAAACACCAAGCGGTCACCGGTGACCGCAACCTATTGTTCTATAATTGTGTCTACAAAACCGGTACTCGACGAGTTAATGTGATTGACGAATTAAAAAGTCCAGACTAAATTTGATGGTGCCCTGATGAATAAGGGTTTGAAATCGCCTCTATATTTATATCTCAGGTTCGATTCCTGGGTCGGGCAAAGTATTACTGGGTTCTAAAAAAATCTCAGTAGTAGCTGGAAGTCTGAAATTGTGCTCGGTATATGCCAATAGGCTCTCATCCTCTATTACATGGGACTCATACATAAATATAGTGAAAAGTGGGTGTTATATTGTATAGTGGCATTAAGTGCCGTAATGTGCACCTCTGCATTTGGGGATAAAAGGCGTGATGTTATGTGTAATATGTGGACCAAAAGAAATAACTGACGTTCAAAGAATGCTGGTTGGGTCAGTAGAACTTTACAACTTCTTAGTGTCAACAAATGAGTTTAAAATCAGTAGAACTTGAAATACTTTTAAGTCCCTGACACACCGTTGTCCCTGGACAACGGTGTGTCAGGGACTCTCTCGCTCACTTTATTATAGACCTTATTTCCGATGTTAAGAAACTACTTTTGTATGAACACATTTGGTTATAACATGAACGAGTAGTTGCACCTTACTAAAGCCGAGTAGACCTCTTCTTTACACTTAGTATATGAGCCTCTAGCATGGCTTGAAACTAGTCGAGTTCCTCGTCAAACAGTTACGCGAGTAAGCCGAAAACATAATACATAATTATTTAACATGAGGTCGAAGGTATACCTGTCCAATGGCGACATTGGCCTCATGGGCCTCAAACTCATGCAGCTTGGCAGTCTGCAGGTCTGTCTGTAGGGCGGCCACCTGCGCTGACAGCTCCGCCACTGTACTCTTCAGGAACTCCACTTCTTCATTACTGCTGGTGTCTGAAGCTGGAATAAAAGGGATAAGGTTAAATAAGTATATGAATATTTTTTATATAAATGTAGTCTGCCTAATGTTAATAGATTTTCATCCTTATAGATTTGTTATAAAGGTCATAACTTGGAAATAAATAAATGTTAATTAAATTAATGTACAATATGCTACATACCATCGACTTGAATTTCCATTGCAATACAAGTGTCATTATACAAACTATCTCTAAAATAATCAAGATCCGCGAACCGATAACGCAATACCATTATACAGTGATGAGTGGCTGGTGCACTTTGGGTGCAAATATAAAAGACAATGATAGCAAAACTTCTATTGCTTATGATAATAAATTATTATGACTGAGTGCGAGTTGTTAGAACCATCGTGCAGTGGTGCCATATTGACTACCGGAATATCGAGGTTTTGAAGTGTTTGTACAAATGTTCAGCAGCGGACGTCTGGTGGCTGATATGATGATAGGTAAGCATTTTCAAGAGCTTTTTAAAATCACTTTTTGCATCCTATATCATAATACAGGCGATTGGGACCCCTTCCAAAGCTCGAATACACAATAAACCTGCATTAGAAACACCGGGAAGTGGAATTTTTTTTAGCTTTCCTCTAATAATATATTATATATCTTCAGATTTATTTCGTTGCGGAATCCAAGACCCTCAGACGCGTCGGACTTGCAGTGTTCCGGTGTTTTTATGGTTGTATTTACTGTAGATCCTGGCTTACAGGAATTGCAGCTGTTTTGGTAGATTGTGGCCCCTATTGGGTCAAGCCCAAACGTTTTTTTTCCTCGTAAGATGGCGCTTATCTAGCATAAAGTCTTTTTGCCTAATTACGGTAGATAATTCCCTATTTGACGAAGCACAAGAGGTCCATTAGCGCCTAGTAGCGAGCCTAGTAGAGTTATACAGCAGCCCTCATTAATAAAATAATAACAAACCTGCATCGATGGCGTCGGTGTAGTCGATCTCGATGGCCCGCGGCGGCAGTGCCTGTATGAGCGCGGTGCTGCGCCGCTTCAGTTGTTTGTTCTCCTTGTACCACTCGCCTGCTTGCTGCATCACCCTGGAAGATGTCACATTATACTATTAGTAGAGGGACAGCAGAAATGTATTTATTAAAGGAAACAATATTTTCGTCAGTTACTATTTTGCTGTTTTATATGTTAGGCGGGCAGGTATGAGAAAAAGAAGCAGAGGTAGACCATATGCGCAGTAGACAAACGATATAATCCAGGTGGCTGATAAACATCGCCAAGATGCGCTACTTTAGGCTTTTTATGGGGTAAACGAGCAGACGGATCACCTGATGGTAAGCAATCTTAAGCTGCCAGTAATTTTAAGCTTCCAATTTAGAAAGGAAACAATGTAAGATCTAATATTCAGCATAACCACTCTTATCAAATGAACAGTCCAATCTTAAATACTTCAATATTACGATTGATACCGTGAGACCTAAGTCATTAGGGCTGACCTTTGTTTAGTAGTGGAACATCTTGTTGCCAAGAAGATGAAGATGAACGAATGAAACTGACATTATCTTCATTTTGATATCATTTTAAAAATAAAAAGAAACACTTATAAGGAAGTACTTCTACCTACTTCCTTCTATCATGTAACGAAAATATCCAAAACCTTGATCATTATGTGTGTCAATAACCAATACTCAAATTGTATTTACCAAACGTCTTCCTTGAGATAAGCTAATGGAGGCATGTTTCGTTAATTACGTACCTGCCAACCTTTGCCGAGGTATTTGTGAAGATAAGACCTACTGTTTACATGCAATGCGTTCTTTGAATTCTGGGTTAAAATATTGAGTGAGTGACGTCATCGGAAGGTGATATTTGCTCAGTCAAATATTTAGGTACTGTCTCATTAGAGTTATCGAGTGGTAGGTAGTCTTAATATCTACATTTCTGCATCGATAGCTGAGTAATGGATTTCAGGTTCAATTCCTACGTCCGATACGATTTTTCGATTTTCTAGGCTCTCTTTATTACTTATATAGCATAACTTGTGGAAATTAGTAGGTGTTAAAATAAACACTCGTCCTCTCTCCTAATTTCCAAAGTTTGCTGTTCCCGACAGGGCATGTAATTGTTAGTATTTAAAATTGTATTTTTCGCACCAGGACTTGCAACAAATACGTTAATAAACATATTATAATCTCTCAACCAACTGTCCACTTACTTGTGCATAACCCCAGCGTCCACATCCCTCTGGTTCTTGAGCTGCTGGTACTCGTTGAACAGCTTCTCCGACACATTCTTGAGTTTGCTGAGCTCCCTGGACCGCTCTCTGAGCTCCGACTCCAGATGCTGTCGCTCTTCAAACAGTATGTTGTGTCGCCTTTGCAAGTCATCGTACTCGCGTTTAGCTGTGAAGATAAGAGATAGAGTGTGTTAAAAAAAGAAAGATATTATAAAAAACGGCAATTGTTTTATTGTCACTGGTGAAAACCAAATTGTCAAAGAAACAATGATAAATGGGCATTAGTTGTATGTCATATGCATTACTTATACATATACCTTATTTTTGTGTGCATTAGTTTTTTTTTGTGGGTAATTTTAGCATTACTAGTATAATTTACTAAAACTTTTTTAGTATTGAAAATGTTTAACTTTATATAACTCTTCGAATAGAATGCAAGGATAATTTTTAAAGTTAATCTTTATGTAAACATGCTAAATAAGACCCCATATACCATTAACACATCGTCCTTACACATTGTATTCACTTTTCATTATCATGCAGTATGAGATCAACTGCATTACACCGCTGCCCATTCACACATACACATACACACACATTACATACATGCCTACTTTCACAATATATTCATACTGATAAGTTTATAACACCATTCATTATAAAGGATCGGATTCAGTCATCAATGTGTATGTTGTAAAAGTCAATAGGTAAGTATGAGTCAAGTCATGACACAGTCACTGTTTCACTGTTCGTTACACATTCAAGTATTCAACATCAATTTCATTCATTTCTATTGAATGATTTTTCTTTTACGCATGACTTACATTGTGGTTCTAAATTAAAAAAACTCAATTAACTTTAAGTCTTCGACTGCTAATAGAACATTGTTGAAGGCAAATCCTCAGCGAATGTTGCTCACTGTTGACTCGTATGTCGTTTAAAATCGGTTGGTTAATGTTAAAAAGAAAATACTGTTACCATTGTTTTAAATATTGTAATGCATAAGTACCTTTAAATGGGTATTAAAAAATAAAAAATGTAGGTATTCATGTCATTAAGGTATGATCTCTATAGCATTGTTAATATTTTCAGAACAGGCTAACAGATGCATTCTATGGCATATACACCTATGTTAGTATGCTACCAAAGTATAGTTAGGGCCCAGGGTGCGTCGCTAGTTTTATAGAACAGTACAGAATATATCTGGGGGCACCACAGAGTCCCAACGGAGTTGAGCAAAAAGAAGCATGTACTATCCTTTTCTCGAATTACTAATATAGTAGCCATAACATAACAAGTATTTATCAATTACATGTTTACTAGAATGGATTATCTAATCAATGTGTAATATTTTCAGTTAGGTAAACTCTTATCAAGCCAAACCCATATTATGCGAAGACTATCAGTAAATAGTAATCATAAATCAAATCAAATATTACTAGAAACTTTTATTTACTATGTATGTCTTAGAATAATATGATTGTCACATTATCGAGGTAGTTTTTTTTTAAGCGGGGAAAACATCGAATGACTGCTCCCACCTGGGTGAGGCGGGAGGGAGTGTCAGACTCTTACTGACTAAAAACCACCCCGTTCCTTCTCCTGCATGTCAAGCTGGAGCCCCGGTAACCCGTTAGGTTCTCCACAACATCAAGGTAGTTTGAGTTCTAATTTATTTTATGAATAAACTTATTCAAGTGTTGTTTACTGGAATATAAGTCTTTGGTCCCAATACTGAAAGGCTAAGGAGATGGCATGAGTAGCCTTTCAGTATTCGAGCATAAGTGAGACATATTGTATTTTTTATAATTGTGTCTCATACAGCGACAGACAAAAGGTTTTTAATTGTGAATCATCATATCATAATATCATACATACAATAAAAGCAATAGTTAGCAAGTTTAAAAGAAAAAGTTTGCTTCAGTTTTAGTAATTTGTAAGAAGCAATGGGAAACAAGTCAAAATAATCTAACTAGATAAAATGATAACAAATAAATATATAAATTATCCTTATGGAATACCTGTCTATTTTTACCACAAACACATACAAAATATGAATTGTATGTAACAATACAGTATTGTACCCTTATCACTATGTTTGGAGCGAGTCATTCAATTTGTTATTTTGCAGTTCAAAATTACTGATGACCTAACATCTATATTACACATATTTTTTACCTATAGGTAATAATAATCCCGTAATATATTTTATTTCTTAGAAAAATTTAGGGAGTAACTATTACTTTTTATGATTATTCCATAAATACATTTTGTGATGATTAAAGTATTATTTATAAGTTATGCATGGATAATACAGTTTAGTCTAGATTTCCTAGAAGTTGTCTTGATTTATGGCTTAAGTAACTCCTTTTGGAGCAGTATTTTCAATTTGAAACTATTTACCTAATTTTTTATTTTATCAAAAGCTCCTTTCCGATGCTAAGTAATCTTATTTATTACGAGCATTGACGATAGATTAAGTTATCAATCAATTTATGATAATACTAAGGCGAACATTAACTTAAATTAAAACCAAATACCTTGTGATTCTAAAGCAATAACTACACTGCAGACATAACAATCTCGGCAGACAGGAAAATTCTTCGAAATTAAAGTAGGATCACAACATCATAGTCATACAAAGGTCTACTAATATGGACTTGGAATTTCTTAAATTAAGCAAAGGTAGCATTCATAAAACATATAAACTTGTAAAACAAAAGTTTCAATTCAAATGAAATTAAAATAAATGAGGCGAATTGTCAATTTTGACATTTCATCAAAAGAAAACAAAAATGAAAATAGTGTTGCGCAAAAGTCGATACCTATACGTTTCTTCTATGAAAACAGTTAAATTCACCGTTATTCATATTATTCTTTTATTCTTTGTATTCGATTACTCACTATCCCATACGTGTAATGCGTAATAAACAGTTAAGCCTTTGTTAATGTTAACCTATACCTTATAAAACCAATGTTTTGCATAACTTGACACACGATACTTACTTTTACAAGTTTAGGTACCTATTTCACATGAGCAAGGATTGGGGAAGATTACGATTTAATGTCCAAGCAACAGGTTATCGTCTGTCATAATCCAACAAATACGCGAATAGGATTTTGTACTTAGGTTTTCGTTTGCATACGACCCGGGAGATATTGTGACATGCGCAGTAGAAACCGCAAAAAATCACAAAACTAAAGATTTTATTAAAAAAATATGGAAGAGACTTACCTTTTTCGGTTTTAAGTAAATATGCTTTGTGTTTTCGCTCGGCCTCCTCATATCTGTTTTTCCACTTTTCAACATATGTTGAGATCGCGATGTTAGCCTCCTTGGTGTGTTGTTGCGCGTCGGGCGGCGTCATCCTGGCGGCAGTGGCGCGCGGGATCCTCGTGGCCGCGCCGCCGCCACCGCTGCCGGGACAGAGCGAGACGGCGCTCCGACCGCCTTGACACTGATTGTTACTCGACGCGATCGCAAATACATTATCACCGTTCCTTTTAATCATTTTTGCATTCGATTTTTATTGCACGCGCGCGTCGAACGCTCGCATCCTCTCGTTTTCACGTATGCACGGAGGCGACACGTGTTAGATCAACAGGCTGGTGCGTCGCTAGTTGGAAAGTGTTGAAATTAAATTCGCGAAAGGACTTCTTTGTTCTCGCCGTTGAGGAAAATACGTGTGATATTATACACAGCACATCGGAGTATGTCACGCGCGTTCACTTGTAAAACAGCCTTGATCGTATAGAAGCTGGAACAAATAATTCAATATTGAATTTAAAAAGCGCGTTTAAAACACAAGAATGATATCCGAGTGTCAGATTTCAACTAAGGTTACTAATGTAAGCGTGTGGCTGATATGATAATGAGGACTTCGTCATTGTGAGTCATACGGCTTGGTGTTTACGCTTTTTGTTTACGTTCGACGTTGCCTTATAGTTAGCAGTGCAGTGTTATCATTCGATACTTCTTAGAATCTTGTTAGAATTTAGTCAGAAACATGTATGCATGGAATGCTTATAAGTAAATCAAAGAACCGCATCATTATCGTCACACAGGTCATAGTGTGCCATTAAAATTATACCCACTTTGTAGCTCGTTACTCATTTTTTTGTTTCTGATATTTTTCTCAATCATAATTCGATTTTAATGTAATTATTTTCTATATTTCTACAAAACGAACATCACAACAGCTTACGCTTATAGAAATCATCGCATTAGTTATTGATGTTGTTTATATATATTATATTAATTATTTTGATCGTCAGGCAAATTTTTACTTTTCATTGGTTAATTTTATTATAACAAAAATTTGCGAAAATTAGAAATTAATTTTCAAAATATAGGCTTATAAGACTATATTTTTATTATATTTAATTAATAAATCAAATGGTTTTTTTTAATTGGTATCGTGGTCGTTTGAATCTAATTTTATTCGTTAGCAGTGAACTATGACCTATCTACTAATATTTATCCAAAATACAATGTCATAAATATAGATACGCGGAGAGTGAAATAAAAACAGTAAATTGATTTCAACGAAGCGCATACGAGAAACTTACCAGTACTAACACAAATACACAAAAGGGCACTATCGGCACTATCTCACATTAGTCACTGACAAATAAAATACCACTGACACTGAATAGGAAAATAAAACAAATTAGCGACACGCTAGCACATGTCAAAATCCACAACTAAACGCAGTGCACGCATTATGTCCAAGTAGGGCTGAACGGAAATTCTAAAATTAAACCATTTCCAGTGAAACGGAGAGTCGAACCGTCTTGTCTATGTAAGAGACATGCAACGTGTGGCTTGTGTGGGCCGCTTGAATTGTTAGACATCTCAAGTGATTTAATTGTCACGACCGAGATGCGAGGCATTAATCTCCTCTTCTTACTAATGTCCTCTTGTTTATCTAAGTTTTGTTGAACTCCTAATGGCCTGTTGAATTTTGGATTGTCACATTGATTTCAAGTGACAAATTGCGTTTCCAAAATTTCTTATTTTTTAATTCCTAATAATAATCGGCAGTAGAAGAATTTAAAAAGATTATTCGTAAATAATTTTGGTTTAGCATTAATTGGATATTACTATTTCAATAACAGTTACGAAGTGTGATTTACAGTTACCAAATCAGGCCTCGTATTTTTTAGAGATTCAGGGGTAAATACTCGCAGATCGCCTGAAAATGAAATGTAAATACATGGAAGATTAGAGCTGAAAATTTTCATCTTCATCTCTCTCGCTTGTCTTACTCTAACTTATTATGGACTCGGTATATTCCATGTATGCAGAACACCTGCGGCTTTGAGTCATTCCTTAAGTGACAATTAAACATTATAGGAGTGTTTATTAAATCTGCAGCTTTGATACGGAGACATCGTCCAATTATTTACAAGCTGGTACACTACACATGGTACAGTCACCAGCTTTGTTTGAGTAATGAAAGTCAGAAGCACAAAGAACTATAATAGCGATGGCATATGTCGTGACCGTAAAACATTGCAGCGTCCCATTTAAATTAATTGATTTTAACAACCTAACTTGTTCTCTTTCCTCACTTATCCTCATGGGCAAAAATTTTACCTACGTATAAACACTACGGTCAAAATAATTACATCTTCATTTGAAATATAACGTCCCAGAAGGTTTACCTACTTACTCTGACAGTATTGCTTTCTACGAAGTGTTCATCATTTTTACGGGTAGGGACTTTTATGCAACTCGCACAAAACTCAAGAATACCGTTCTAAAAATGAGATCATGAAATTGAAATGAGGGTTCGGCTCATGAATAATTTTAAGCACCCAAGACACCACTGCTACATTTAAAGCTTAAGAAACCAATCGGAACATAAAAAGACGTGGTAAAAACCAACTTAACTGAAACCAGACAGACCTTTAAGAACCATATTTAGGTAACGAGGTCAAAGTGAGGTTCACCTTTGTAAAGATCTTCGCCAACATTGCTATCGGCAAGGCAATCCGATTACACTGATACCCAATTTTGTCATATTATAATGTAGCTATTCATTAAATTTGACTTTCAGTACACTTAAAATTTATTTGGTAATGATGAAGAGATAGTTGTCGATAATAAGCACTTCACTATTATTAATCACTTTTTAACGACACTTACGGTGACTTAAACTGACTTAAATTACTATCAAAAAGTTTCAACTTCTGGTGATAATTGAGAACATTGGTACATAAAAATGCCAATTATGACCTAAGGAACTTAAGATTTCCTTATATTATTAAGGGCATTCACATCAAAACTAAAATTTAAAATCTCGCAAAATTAATTCGAAAAGCTGAAGTGTGTGCGGGTGCCGCCCACGAGCCACTCATTATTCTTTCAACTTGAGACGCAAACTTTGATTTACTGTGAAATTGAATTTATACGTGTGCCTGTTCTCTTTGAAACCGTGGAAGGGAAAACTTAAACTTTGTCGATGTACAGATTTAGACTTTATGTTCAGAGTATTTTTAGCCATTGTTCTAGTGGCATCAGGTATTGTTTATTGGATAACCGACATATGTATTGTGTTACTTTGATCCTTTTAGTTATTCAACAATAAGTTTATTGGTTTAAAAGTATATACAAAACATCAAATGGAAGCCAACATTAATCAATTACGCCACTTAGATAGCTATCTAGCATACAATCACAAAAAGTGTGAACATAACCCACATTTCGAGGAAACACTCACATCACTTCCTGCAGCGAGTAAATTCGGCAGATATTATTTTTATGAGCGAATAATAAACGGTTGCGCGACCATTCACCTCGGTCCTATTTCTGAGCTCTTGTTAACTTCTGCCCATAAAATCTCGCTACTGGCTGTAAGGAGGACGTAAAAATGTTGCTTATACAGTGTCCGTACCATGTCATTGATGAGCAGTCTTGTCGAGTTTATGACTGAACGCATATTTAACTAAATAAAAAACGAACTTAAGCTTTTTGGGTGGTAATAGGCAGTGACCGGTTTTATTTATATAGCCCCATTTGTTTGTGAGCTGAATTGGCGGACGTTTTAACGTAGGCCATGTTTAAACTTTCTAAAAAATAATGAGTACCTATGTCTGCTGATCATTTTAACGATATTCATCAATATCATTCACGCTGTTCATTACAATAATCGCATAATGATAACATCCTAAAAATCATAAATCTACCTCAACTTTTAAAAATTTATCTATGGCTAATTAATGTAACACGTAAGTTGAATTTAAGGTTCCCAGATAAATCACCAGAAAGAGGTATTATCTGTCCGACCGATTTAAGAAGTGGAGAAATAGTTTTTGGAGCAACATTTCCAACAAAACCTCATAGATACCAAACTATATTCTCCCAAATACTCATGACAACAGCAAAAACAGGGAAAACAACGCAATTTTGAGTCAACTGGTGTCAACTGGCAGCAATTATTTGATTCGATTAGCGCAGTTTTTGCGATGGCGTGTAATTAACCGTTATAGTGGCAATCTATCCTGACTCCGAGCGACATTCCTCTCTCTCTCCCACACAAAATGTGTCACTCTACGATCTGTATCCTTGTTTAAGGTGACTATACGTTATGTGGTTGAATGGATTTGTACTAGCAACGTAGCTATTTATTAACCACCATTGTTCTAATTGTAAACAGCTAAACGGTCTTTCATTGTCTTAGTAATTATCTAAAATAGGTCAAATTAATTAAACCGACCTTTGAAATAAATTGCAGTAGGAATGCTCTCAAGACAATTTTTCCTAAGCATCTATAACAATTTAACTTCAAAAGATTTCAGTGACATTTAAAGTACGTTTCTAAAAGTCAGAACCTTTAATAGAATGTCCTGTTAGCACTACAACGCATGTTCCCTGCTCGGTGTGGGTGGCGACAGGATTGTGCCCATGTTTATTGCAAAACTTTTTACTGCAGTCGTGGGTTGCGATCTAGTTTCGAACAAATATCAACACGAAAATCTTATTAAAAATTAATGTTGTAATAAATATGCATATACTATTGTTTTTTTTTAATAATATCGATACTTAAGTGTGACAAATATTTTAAATCGCATCACATAAACTACAGACTCTATTATCTTTTTTCTTAGAAATTCAACTTCACGGTAAAATTAGTAAGCACGTAATAAACATAAAAACTTTCTCATTAAACATTATAAAACCACTTCTTAAAATATAGAGAACAAATAATATTTTATTAGTTATCGTAATACCAATTTTCTTTTTAATAACTAGTTATCTCCACAGTGAGCAACGGTAAACGTTTTTATCGATAACTTTAAACGCGAATCCACTCTATGCGATCGATAACAGGTAGTCAATAACAGTATTCAGTAATTTGAATAACCTTTTTAAATGTTGCATAAATAAATAGTTATTTTTCACAAAGATAGAGTGTGTGTCATTATTATTAAGTTAGATAATGGATTGGACATAATATTTAGCACACATCAAGTTTAGTAATGCGTTATCCTGTTTTGTTATCGACCAGTCATTAATTTTAACACAGTGTCTTAACAGTTGTACTAACTTTATAAATGACTATTTTAATGTATTGCGAAGATTTATCTTGGGTACAATATATTCAATATAATTTTGCTTACATTTATTTGTACGAACAGTAGTAACTTTAATCAAGTCTTGACACAAGATGGAAATTGAAAAGAAAACCAAGCATTTCCAGGTACCTACAAAACAATTTGTGTCTTTTTGTCTATAAAGTCTATAAATTGAGATGCAATTTACGTCTCCAGTAATTTATGACATCTGTCGGCTTTGGCTAGCAGTGAATAATTTATTGTATTATACAGATTTGTCCGCCAAAAGTCAGGGATCATGGCCAACTAGTTTTGCTCTACATTTGCCTATTTACAATAATAAGTCCAGCCTTGACAGTGAGTCAATGAGATACAACACTGAGCTACTGTATTGCAAATAATAAAATGTTAGTTGTAAGTACTCATGGAGGAAAAATCAGACAATCTGTTCACGATCATTTCAATATTTTTATTGCGCACCATTTATTCTTTATATTTTAACCTCTGGAATGGACTTTTAATTTGGTTTAGCCGTGCGTGATTCGAAATCCATGAATTTAGGTACATTTGTTTGTACTATTAGGCACTGCTAATAATAATCGAATGCACAATGCCATAGCATTAATTACTTACTACTAATAAGGTAATACTTTTAGCTAGGAGACACTAAGACCGATCTCATTTAAGTTGATAACGAATAATATTCGCCAAGTTGACTTTCCACCACAGCTGTAATAAAAAAGTTTAAAATATAAGATCACAGTATAATTCCATAAAAAATAAAATACTTAAAAAAGGCCCTACCCGATAGAAACGTCGCGGAGAACCTAACGGGTAACCGGGGCTCTGGCTCGACGTGCAGGAGAAGGAACGGGGTGGTTTTTAGTCAGTAAGAGTCTGACACTCCCTCCCGCCTCACCCAGCCGGGAGCAGTCATTCGATGGTGTTCCCCCCTTAAAAAAAACCCCGATAGAAACAAATCGATATACTTAGTTTTTATATAATTCGAAAAGTCTTTGTAAAGGGACTACACGTAACGAAGAAATAAGCATTTAAACATATAATATTTTGTAAAACTTCTAACTTTAAGTACTCGCTATCAAATATGTATGTCACGCAAATATGTAACTAGACGCGTATTTATCTGAGTCTACTGGTTCTAGGAAGCAATCTGCGAATAGTTATAGTAGATTTCACTATGAAGTAACTGGTACACGCTAATTACACGATAGCTCGATTGTCTTCTACGAAACGTGTTTAGATAACATATTTTATTATAACAAAAGGTTCATATCCTGCCTTATCTATGATGGC